AAAGTCTATGCGGTGGTAAAGCGCACAGAGAGATGCCTGAACTAGCTGGTACTGGAAGCAGCGTTGCTGCAAAAGCCTGGAGCTCTGCAAGAGCTCAATTACTCAGCTGAGAATGAGCTAATTTGGGTATCTACTCTGCACTGCAGCAATGTAGACATAACCTTAGTTGCCTTTATTTACTGTAGAACTGAAGTAAGTGAAGGTAAATTAATGTCACTTTAATGCTGAATAAGAATCTCCACACAAGTGTTTAAGGCAGCCCAATTAATTCCCTCTTTAATTTTCACCTTTAGTTAATTTTGATTAATTTTCCAGAGTGTGTCTGTTTAGGCAAGTAACTAATTCAAAGGGATTATTCCTTGAATATACCTCCAGCAGTAGGCAAAGAGGGAGATACTGCCAAGAGGATGAGGAGGCAGGTTTTCAGGGGAAACTTGAAAGTAGTGGCTATAAAGCAGCATAATCTAGGATTAGAGGCAAGATGCAAACCCTCAGTGAATGATGGAGAGTTTAAAGGAGGACAATATGCATGTTGCCTTCCTTTCAAGGGACCAGAAGCTTTAGAGTGGTTTCTGATCATAAAAACAGTTCAGCTCAGGCCTGTGATTCTGAATGCATTTCTGTGATGTTAATGCACGTCATGGGTTGGGACAACCAAGTCAACAACTGATAAATATTCAGCATATAATATTAGAATTGGTCAAAAAAACCCACTCATCTTTTTTTTTTTTAATGTTTAGCTAGAACTAAAGTGTATGGGATGCTCCTTCTCCTAGGGAAGGAACTGAGCTTTACCATAAGCATGCTTTTCCTCCCACTAGCTGACACCCTGTTTCTAAAGGTAGCCTTCTTGTAGTACACAGAAATGAGCAGCCATGCAGTGACCTTTTGAGTTTTATCATGAGACACATTTTAATACAATCTTGCTCCCGAATTTTAAAGAAATGCCACCTATTAAAAGCTGGCCTGATAATTGTACACAGAAGAGTGGTTGTTTTACTGCAAAATGTTTTGCACCTGGCATGTCCTCGCTCTGCAGTATGCTAAATAATGCATGCTCTTTCCAAAGGATATTAAAACGCTGCTTTAAAAATGAAACGGAGAGAGCAGCTCGTAAGATACTACGTTGGGAAAAATGATCAGTAAGAATGAATGGAGAAAACAGCAATGTCAGCCCTCGTGGAAATAACTCATCTTTATAATCTTCTGATTTAGGTAGCAGGAGGACTCTAAAAGGAGCCGTGCTGATATTAGGTGATAGAGTGGGGGGGAAACACCATGACCTGTGCAGTAGCACCCAAAGGCATAACTGGGCATTTCTGCACTCCGGGCAGCAACAGTGTACAAGGACAGGGGCAGCAGCTGGTAGAGCTACAACAGGACAGGCTGCTGTGGGGCTTACCATGGAAGCAGCCACCAAAATGTGTGTCAAGCAGTGATTGTATTAAGGGCATGAGGGTTAATTAATACCTCCCTCAGCATCAGTGGCTACCCCTGAGAGCAGACCTCTGTCTGGCACCAACCCTGTGTCTACTGCTCTGCCCTCCATGCCCATCTCATGTCCAACACTGCACCCAGAGCCAGCCTTAGGGAAAATGGTGCCTTGGGTGAATTTGTATTTTGGGTGCCCACCCTCCTCCCCTGGCACCCTCTAAGTCAGTAGCACTGCTGTAGACATGGCAGGTGGGGAAAGAACTGGGGGACTGGGGCCACCTGCCCAGCTCTTCTCCACCCCTGACCGTAGAGCTGCAGCCACCTGGCAGCTGGAAGCTGGGCCCGCCAGTGCCCGAGTGCCCACATGGAGCCGCTGCCAAGACTGGGAGTGACCATGACATGCCTGGCACAATGTGCAGTCAGTCCCAGCTGGGGAAGGAGGGAGGAAGGGTGGGGGCAAGTGGTCCTATCCCATGCTTGGTCTCCATCACTGTGGGAGTGTGTGTGTGGTGCCCCCTGGCATCCCCTGACCAGACCAAGCTGGGCACTCACCCACCCCTAAGGCTGGATCTGACTGCACATGCCTACCAGAAACACTGTATAGAAAGTGCAGGGTGGGGCAGGGCAGGATGGTGAGGTGCCCGATGGCTGCATTACAGAACTACCCCCACATCTTTAGGCAGCATCTGGAGCTTGTGCCCCATTGCCCACCCCTAGTTATGCTGCTGATAACACCTAAACAGACTGAAATAATTTCAAAACAGTGAATTTTATAAAAACATAAAGGGGACTGACTAAGTGACCTCATGAGATCCCTTCTTACTTATTTTCATCTGTATGATAACTGGGATATCCTATTCTAGATAGAGTAAGAAGCCAGGCAGCATCAAGGAATGGGAGAGGTGGAGAGGGCACCTTGCCCTATACTCATGGTATGTTATACAGCTTAAGAAGTTAAAAAGCCATTACTATGTGCCAAGTCTCGTCTCAAGAAATGAGGCATTGTAAGTATTATAGCAGTGTAGTTAAGTGTGATGGGTTATTTCTGTTTCCTTGTTTGTAGAGGTCCAATCTTTTTTTATGGTTTCAATCACATGATGTTGAAATCTGGCGCACAGTTTGTCAGTGCAGGTGTGCATTTTATTTTAGAATATTCAGAGTGACATTTCTTTTTTTTTTCTTACACTTTCTTTTCAAAGTTGTAATACTGCCCAATGAAACACACTTTTTTTTTCTTATTTGATTTCAGATTCTTTAAACTTAGTCAAACTAATTGTCTTAAAAAAACCCTGAGTTTGAAAAACAGTAACAGTTCTTGCATGGCACTATAAATCCCAAGAGAACTGTTGTTGCTGCTGTTTAACCAACTTCAAGTTACCAACTAAGAAAACTTAAAAAAACAAAAAAAAACAAAAAAAAACAATCCTATGTTTCTCGCAGTTTTGAAGCATTTCTATTTCAGTTGTTTTGTGGTCTCAAAATTAGGAAACCAGATAATCTGGGTCTCAGAGTCATAGTTTTAGGCTCATAGCTTTTCTGAACTAGACCTTGAATACCTTGAGCATATTTAGAGCATCTCTAGAGCAGCCTAGAGATTGCTCCAAGTTGTGCCACTTGTCAGTGAGCCCTAGATGTGTTTCTGCTGACAGTTATTAAGGGGTGCAAGGCATTTAAACATGTTTACTGTCATCATTGTTATCGGCAGCAGTCCCTCGCAGTTGAGGGTGATCACTCCTGTGGGTCAAGTAAAGGGTTGTAGATGAGTCCATTGATGGCCAAGAAGGCCGATCCCATCGCCACAGACTCTCGAACAGAGGCCACAGGTGGTGATTAAAGGGAGGGTTGAACTATAGATTTCTTGGTCTTGTTTCCTTTCCTTACGTTTGTCATTTTTCTGCCTCCAGGATGAGATGGTTTTCCTCAAAGTAAGATGTACCTTGTCTCGGAAGGTGTTGCCATGTAGCCCTGTCCTGGGCTAGTTTTTCCCAATTTGTGGTGTCATACTATATCAAGGCAGCAGTTAACTCTCCCCAAGTAAAAGGGAGTGGGGGTCCTCCCATAGCACTTGTTTTCTGGGGGCTAGCAGGCTTGTTTGGTGGCGGGGTGACATTGTAAATGGGGCCTGGCATTGTTACCTTGTGATCATCCTACATGTTGTTTCAAGAACAAAGGCTTCACCTGACCCACTACTTAAGGGGTGGGGAAAGTCTGGCCTGCGTGCTGGATTTGGCTGGCAGTGGACTCCATTTCCCAACAGCTCCTGCCCATGTGGGTGGGGCCGGTTTCCCTGGAGGCCCCAGCAAGAGCCACATTGTGATAGTGCAAGGCTGGGGTTTCTGTGGATACCCACCCCAGAAGCACTGGCAGGGCACGCAGCTGCTCCAGGACCAGGCTGGTTTCTTGCAGAAGTGATAGCATGGTCCAGAGCCAGGGTAGAGCCTGCATGCTCCAGGCAGGGGCATGCAGGCACTGGATCGCAGCTCTACCCTGTAGACAGACCACACTGTCACCGCTGCAAGGAGCCAGGGCAGAGCTGTGACCCACAGCCTGCACGCTCCTACCTGGAGCATGCAGGCTGCAGATCATGGTTCTTCCCTGGCTCTGGACCATGCTGTCACTGCTATAAGATCCCAGCCCTGGCCCGGAGCAGCTCCCCACCCTGCTGCATGCCCTGCCAGTGCTGCTGGGGCTGGTCTCCTTAGAAACCCCAGCCTCGCGCTATCACAGAGCAGCTGCTTCTGGGGGTCTCCATGGAAGCTGGCCCCAGCCATGTGGGCAGGGGCTGCTGGGAAATGGAGTTTGTCTACCAGCTGGATCCACCATTTTGCCCATCCCTGCGCTACTGTGTAACCAACTGCACTAAGGCCAGGGCCCAGTGATTTCAGAAATACCCCAGTCCTTGCAGCCCTGATTGGTTATCCCAACTCCCCTTCCCTCCCTGCAACCAACCACTTTTAAAATAGATGTTTTAGGTTACTTGTCACTATGGGACACAGCTGGATACAGTCCAGACACAGTTTCTGTAATTGCAAGATGTGTTAAACTTCTAAGCTGTTTGAACTAGGGTCTTGTACCTCTATGGCAGGTGAAATGAGAGCTGGGATGGAAAAGGACATTGCAGCAAGAATGAAGAAAAAGAGGGAGGAGCAGGAACAGAAGACAATGGATATGGACAAGATAATAGATCACATCAATGGATAAAACTAGCTTGTGCTATTGCAAAGCAATTTCTCTTCTCCACAGCTCAGCAAACTTGCAGAATATTCTGCATTTCATTGTTCCTCAAATCATGATGGCTTTTTGTTAATGCTTAGTTGACTGAATTGGAGCAGAAAAAAGCAGTCCTATTAACAGCTTGTCTGGTATCAGACTCCCTCTCTATTCTCTCACAGCAGGAAATCTTTTCACAGAACAAGTCACAGGCACATCCCTTCAGAAATCGGTGCAAACTCGGACCCTTTGCCAACATCTTCACCCTGACCAACGAAAGCTCAAAATTAAGCCCATGGTGTCCATTCTAAAATGAACTACATGCCACTTGGGGCACAGCTGTATCGGGTACTTACCTCCCTGTATTCTGGTTAATATCTTGTCCAAACCTGTCAACTGACATGTACCTCACAGGCGTAGAGATGGGGGATGAACTTTAATCAGTCCATTAGTGTCTCCCACATGCACAGGCCTGCTAAAAGATATATAAATAGTAATACATCAAATGCATCTAAAGTAACAATTTCAGGCTGCAGAGCAGAAATTACAAAAGTATGGTTAATTGACTGCTGTCAGCAGTTTAATGTGAAGTGTTATCAATGCACTATTTTCATTGAAATGTTTCAGAATTTTTTGTCACCTTATGGAAAGAATAATTGGTATTTAATTGTAGCCTGACTGAATAGCAAAAACATCCTTCCCCTTCCCATCCTGCTGTTCCCCTGAGTTCAATTTTAAAATGGTCTTGATCAATTAAACTGGCTAGCCAAGAATCACGCGTCTCATCCTATAGTGGACTCCAATAATAAACAATCAACTGGAAAAAGGCACCCCTTACGGACTGTAAAGCCAATGCAAAATATAGATAACCAAACATGGGCAATATATGAAGTGAAAGGTGCATTTAAGACTAAACAACAGGACCACTAGACAGACACTGGGAAGGGTGCATCTTGCAGATCCACTGCAACTAGCCCGAGTATTTGGGAAGAGAGTTTACCTACTGTTTCAACAGGTAGGGGACATAGAAATAACCAGATGTAAACAAGTCCTTCTAGAAGTGTTGGAATAGTTGTTAAATAAGGGACAATGCTTTACTTTTCCTAAGACATAGTACAGCTGTTCTTTGTTTGGAAAATATTAAGCATTTCCACGATAACTTTTGCAGTAATACACATTGCATGTATGGAAGGGGTTGGGTAGAGACAACAGGAAATTCAGTATTCCCCTCTCGGAAAACAATCCCTCAGAACTGGCTTAATTGAAGATGAAGCAAAAATCAGAACTTGATCCAAAACAAAATCTGACTGTAAACTGACCAGCCGGATCTGCTGGAGGCTTCTTACTCCCGAAGAATCAAACTGTGTCAGGTGGGACACCTTGGGTCAATCCATCCTGAGGAAAAGGTCCATCATCTCCTACAAGAGAATAATGTAGGGAGGAAACCATAACCATTCTTTTAAGGACCTAGACGGACAATATAATTACACCAGTGTCACTTGCATTGATTGATTGATTTGATACTTATGTAAATTTATGCTGTATCCTGGAACAAACAGATGTACAGCTGTCTTGGGGTAGCTACATGCAATAATAGCAGCCTACAGCATCTTAATAGTAGGTGTTGAGCAAACAGATTCTAATCTGTTCACATTAAGTAAATGACTCATCCAAGGAAAAGTTTGAACAGATGACACCTATGCTAGTGTAATGTAGGGTGTCGCCAGATATAGCTACCTTATCGGTATCAAATGACAGTGATATATAATTTGTTATGAACTGTTATGTCCACATACTCCTATAGCAATACAAGTGCAGCAAAACCATTGTAGCTTTAGCCTTGAAAGAAAGCAGATTACAGCAGTTTAGGTCACCCCTATCTTTGTAGGTGGAACAGATAAGTGCTGATGTGGGTAACTCTCCCACCCCTTTTTAAAGCTGTTTATGGTTGCATCTATTTTTTTTTTTGTTGTTTTCTTTTTTTTTAGCTGTAATCTAGTGTAGGTTCCCCTACCACCACCAGGGTCACTGTACACCTGATTGGAGTAAACTTCACCAGCTTGGGCTTGTACAACCCACACCCAAACTTCTCTCTTTACAACAATAGAATTGTGCTGTGTCCAAGCCATTAAAGTCATGGGCTGGAGTAGGGCAAGGCCAACGCACCTTGTGTTGAAAGTTTCCAGGCACTTCAGTAGTTATAATAAAGTAAAGGCAAATTCAAATTCTACCCTGAATTCCCATGAACAAATGACTGTCAAATCCCATGTTTTGATGGCTTTTGCAAAAGCAGTTGATACAGTGCCACATGAGGAAATTGTGTTAAGCTGAAGAAAACAAGGAATTGTAAGGAGCTGGCTCATGTATGGCCAGAAGTGTAAAGCGTTTGAAATGGGGGAAACATCAGGTTGTAGAGATGTTACTAGCAGAGTTCCCAAAGATTTGTTTTAGGCTTGAACAGGTACATATTTTTCATTGATGGCTTTGGCGCACAAAGCAGGAGCATGGTAATAAGATAAAGCAGAGGATTTGGATAGCCTACATAAAGAATGAGATGAGTTTGAGGATGGGGGTGGAAAAAATGGAATCGAGTAACACAGAATGCAAGGTTAGGAACTTGAGGGTGAACAACAAAACCTCTATAAGTTGGGAGCCCATCAGTCAGAAATGACTGAGGTGGAGAAGGACCCTTGGGTTATTATTTGGTCTTGGGATGACTATAAGCTATTAATGTGAACCTGTGGCGCATAAGGAGTGTTATTTTCAGTAGAGGTAAGGAAATACTATCAGAGCTGGCCTTAAGGAAAATAGTGCCCTGGGTGACCTTGTATTTTGGCTCCCTATACTCCCTCCTGCCCTGCCCCAGGGGTCACTGTGGCCCGGCTTGGGTTGTCACATCTCCTTTCCTTCCCCTGCTGCTTCTCATGGCCCCATTAGGTAGAGGTGGTGCCATGCTCCCCCTTCTGCTTCTTACCCCCATGACCCAGAGACAGGGATAGGCTGTCTGTAGCTTGAGATGCAGCTAAAGGAAAAATGATGCAGGGACGACACCAGTGCTCCCCCTTGCTGCAGCTCCTGGTGGCAGTGGCATAGGCAGCCTGAGACGGGTGAGGCAGGGGTCTGGGGTCCTGTCCTTGGGTCTCGCCTGCTAGTGCTAGTAGCAGCCCTGTGGTCATCACCCTGCAGTGAGTGGGGGTAGGCAGAGCTGGGCAGGGTGGACTCAGTAGCTGTGCCTGAGCTGAATTGCAGCTTATTCATGCTTCCACAAACAGGCACAGAACTTGCATGTCCTTACCTGTGTGAATAAGATTTCAAAAGCCAGCAGTTCCCTATGTAAAGGGGCAGATGGTGTTTGTGCCTAGAGCACATGCAAGTCATTTGAATGACCTCTTAAGAAAAAAAATTAGCAAGAAGTTAAAAATAGACCATGCCAGACAGAATGCATCCTCTTTGGAAAGTATTAAGACCTCTCTTAAAATCTTTGCCATACAGGATTACATTCCAATACAGTAAGAATCGACGTGGGTAAAAATCAGCCCAGTTTTAAATGTGTCAAATGCCCCAAATATCTATGGTCTGTTCTACCCAAAGATTTTTCCGTGGTTGACTGAAATAAGTCCCAAGTGAATCTAATAACTTACCACTGGTAATAAGCATTCAGAGTTAAGCTTGTATCAGGTACAGCCATGTAAAATATAATATTACTGAATCCTAATAACTTCCCGAGTACTTGACCAGAGTTTTTGACAATGAACAGTTTTCAAGGTCACAGTTTGCCACGTTCTTTTGGAAAAGTTTTCAAAAGGGTCTAAGATCTCTTTCTTTCTTTTCTGTTTTCTCTTTGGCAGTGCAGAGTTGGACTTCCACTCACTAGGAAGTTAAAGTCCAGCAGGTCGACTTAAGTGTTTTAGGCTTTTTTGGTCATCTTGGAACTTGGATGCTAGCAAGAGCAGTCCTTCTGTTGCAGAGCTATAATGTTCACAAGGCAGAGAGTAAACTCTCATGTACTGACTAGTATGTGCAGCTGTCTTGGATGTTTGTACAAGAATTTCTGCTGATGGCAGTTCTCCTGAAATGAACCTCTATGCAAAATATATGCCTTTGATAATCTGCCATTGAAATGCTAGTGGGAAATGTATTTTGTTTTGTTTGGGGGGAGCAGGAGAGGGGCAAGAGACAGACACGTGCTAGTTACTGGGCAAATAAGCTGGGGAATCTAATAAACTTCTGCTTGTTTTGAAAGTAGTATACAAGTGATCTAATCTAGCCCCCAAAATGTGTTTTGAATTAGCCTTCAGTCAAGAGTGCTACTTGGCAGACAGAAAACCTTCATGTATCAATCCTATAATCAGTACAGAAGGGCAAGTGATTTCAAACTGCCTATGAGCAAGACTCCTTATGACACTTATTCAAACTATGTTCAACAGAGGAAGTCTTCCTCTTATGTTTCCTGAGCTGTATAATCTAAGCCCTCAGTAAGCATTAATGAGAATACCATCCCACTCCAAGTAGGAGCTAAATAATATAACACGCAAAGATGTATGTACTTCCTGGTAAGCAGGCCTGAGTGCTCACCAGTTAGGGAAAGGAGTTGTTATGCCTTCATGGCATTAGAGAAGAGAATGGATAACCCAGCACTTGCTATAGAATTAGATAACAAATAAGCTTCCTCTTCCATTTTCTTGACGCACTGAATTTTTGAGATCGAAATGCCTCTCTTACAAAATTGACCTGTTTCAAAAATTCAAGCTGAAGTTGCTGCTCATGGGGTCATACTACTATTCATTAAATACTGTTTTGTGACTGGCTATTAGTGGAGTACCTCTCCCTGACGGAGGAACAATCAGTGTCTCAACTTCACAGGTTTGAAAGTATCTGGATCTGGCTTTTGTCAGGCAAGTCCCTAACTGACCTCAGCAGGCTGAACAAGTGACTTCAAGATCTCATTCAGCTGCTCATGACTTCTGTGCCTACCATAGCTGGGAGACTAGGCAGTACTGTGCCACTCTAATCATATGATCAGAAAAAGACGGGTAGCTGGAGCTAAAATATAAGTTATATTTTGATGTAAACAAATCTGAATGGTTGATTTGCACACAAATCCAATACACGTCACCCTGTTCTGTATCATCTTTTTATGCCAACTGTTCATCAATTTTGTTACCTCTCTTGTAACTCTAAATTCTTAATAGGTATTCAGTTTTGTTCTTTGGGTATGCTGTTATGGTCCCATCTAGCAACAGTCCATAAATGTAGCGTGCCTCCTACTTCTCTTTACATAAATCTTCCAGTGTCTTAACTTTTTCGTCCAATATGTTCTCTACCCAGAGCATTTAACTTCTTGCTTTTGTAGCTGACTGTTTACAGATATCTATTTCCCCTTCTAACAACTTCAAGAGTTTCCCAGATTAGAAAAGGAGATACCTCTGGGGAGTTATTGAATGTAATTGCTTCAATAATATCTTTTGTTCATTTCTGCAAGCATTACAGGATCTTTAAAGTACATGTCATTTCAGTTCCAGGATCATTAAAGTCACTTATTTTCTCAGCCCAATAGTACTTTATGTTCTAACTTTTGGTAGTTTTAAAAAGACACAAGTATAACAAAATGGGCGTTAAATGGCAAATGCGTAGTAAATAAGTATTGACCAACACAGTCATCATGTTGATTAAAATGCTGGAGGCCAGTAAAGATTGTTCTTAAGTGTGGTCAGACTTATCCTTTTGGTTTACTTGAGAAGACATTTTTGGGGGGGGAGGCAGGAGAATGAAAGGCACACAACTGACAACTCTACCAATTCGTGACCTACTTCACAACACCTGAAGGCCTGTGGTACTTCTTCTTTAGAGAGGCCTGTATATGGGAATCCTACAATCTGCATTGTTTCTTCAGCGACTGGTAGAAACTTCCTTAGATTTTTTGCCATGGTATAATGAAGAGCTAATTCAAGTGTCTGACTTGTAGAAGAAACTGTTCAGCACAGGGCATGTGGTATATTTTTTTTATATCTTAGTTTCATAGTTGGTAGGGTCGGAAGGGAACTGAGCAGATCATCAAGTCCGACCCCCTGCCATGGCAGGAAAAAGTACTGGGGTCAAACAACCCCAGCAAGGTGTTCGTCTAACCTCCTCTTAAAGACCCCCAGGGTAGGAGCCAGCACCACTTCTCTTGGAAGTTGGTTCCAGATCCTAGCCGCCCTGACTGTGAAGTAGCGCCTCCTGATGTCTAGTCTGAATCTACCCTCTGCCAGCTTGTGACCGTTATTTCTAGTCACTCCTGGTAGTGCTCGGGGGAAGAGGGACTCCCCCAATGCCTGCGGGTCCCCCCGGCTAGTTTGTAACAGGCCACTAGATCCCCCCTCAGTCTTCTCTTGTGGAGGCTAAACAGGTTCAGGTCCCTTAGCCTCTCCTCATAGGGCTTGCCCTGCTGCCCCCTGATCATGTGGGTGGCCCTACTCTGAAACCTCTCAATGCTGTCCACATCCCTCCTGAAGTGCGGCGCCCAGAACTGGACGCAGTACTCCAACTGCGACCTGACCAGTGCCGCATAGAGGGGGAGGATCACCTCCTTGGACCTGCTCGAGATGCATCTGTGGTTGCATGACAAGGTGAGGTTGGCCTTCCTGACTGCGTCCCCACACTGTCAGCCCATGTTCATTTTGGCATCAATAATGACTCCAAGATCCTTTTCTGCCTCTGCACTGACAAGAAGGGAGTTCCCCAGCCTGTAGGTATGCTGCTGGTTCTTCCTCCCCAGGTGCAGCACCTTGCACTTTTCAGTGTTGAAACCTATCCTGTTCTCATCCGCCCACGCTTGTAACCTCTCTAGGTCCAACTGCAGCCTATTCCTCCCTTCTAGCATGCCCACATCCCCCCACATCTTAGTGCCATCAGCAAATTTGAATAGGGTGCTTTTTACCCCCTCATCCAAGTCACTGATGAAGATGTGAACAGCACGGGTCCGAGGACCGAGCCCTGGGGGACCCCACTGCCCACATTCCTCCAGGTCGAAAATGACCCATCCACCACCACTTTCTGGGTGTGGCCCTCCATCTGACTCTGTATTTGCTTTAACAGTTTTATAGAAAGGGTTCAAATACATATTGATGAGCATAAAAAGAGCAGGAAAACCAGTTGATATGACATTGCCCAGCAACGGCAATAATACACCACTTGACTCCCTCTCTTTGAAGTTTTGGCATCCTGTTTTGTTTGTATGTCTTTTCTGTAAGAAAACAAAATCTGCTTCCGTGTCCGTGACTCATTTTTATTTAGTCTGAAAAGCTAACCTAGCTCATAATTACTGTAGTAAATTCAAAGCTGTCCAAGTTGCTGGTGAAGAAGGTCTTAAATGCCTCTGTTCTTGTTTTAAGGCCTCTGATGCACCATCTAAAGTCCCTATACTATTAAAAGAGCTGCAAGAGATGTTGACTGAAATCCTTGGCATCTCTGAAGTCTGTGGCAAAGATCTCATTTACTTCAACAGAACGGAGACTTTATATTTTCTCTCAAAAAAAATTTACTTGATTTCCAGTTATTGCTTCAAACCTCACAGTAGAGTGTCAACAGTAATGAAGGAAATGAGATGTGCAAATATAATAATGAATATTTGACTCAAACTGAAATTGCTGCTCATGGGATCATACTATTATTCATTAAATGCTGTTCAGCCCAAATGCCAGTATTCATGAAACTATTAGTAAACAGTTTGTGCTGGAATTGCATTCCATGTTATTCACTAATTGTTCAGTATATACCTATTAAAAAAAACAAACAAAAAAAAGCAAATAACGCAAAATCTCCAGTCTTCCAGTTAAGAAACACAGACAAATGGTCTGATTGATTAGGTGTGCTTTGAATTGCAAGTACCAGACATCAAAGAGCTCAGCAAATTAAATGTTTACATCAACCCTATAGAGCTGAGCTGTGGGGCTCTCTGTACAATGCTGTTATACAGCTCTTATAACAATCTTTTAGATAGAACTTAATACAAGTTTTGAATGCCACCAGGCCAACATCTATATATATAGAATTGAACATGTTTCATTCCCCAAATAACATCCTTAGACTGCATGCTCCTGGAGGCAGAGGGCACTATATCTGGGTTTAGTACAGTACCTAGCCTGTGTCACTACTTGACTAGTGCTTGTTGAGTGATACAGAGGACAAATAGTGAAGTTGCAATCGATAGACGATTACCTGTATTATGGCAAAAGCAATTTAATGATTTGGGTACAACAGCGCTACGCTCCTAGTGTAGTTATATGGTAGCAGTCTTTCTAACAATCTGTGAACTGGGGATCACAAGAGGTTATGCATTTCTGACTTAGTTGGCCTACACGGTGCATCTCTACCCCGCCTGCTGCCTGACTTCAGACTAATGGCTAACTGCCTCTCTTTTTACCAGCCTGTCATAAAGAGAAGGGTACAGCAGTAAAACCTCTTGCCCCTTTCTCTGTTGGCACTCTAAACCATGTTTATCACAGTTACTAACAGTGATAGAGCAATTGTTTGTATAAAAATGAATTTAGTCAAGGATCTGATTTTTTTACACTAATCCTGGGAGCTACCAGTTACTGTTCCTTCTGTCTTCTCCAGGAAAATGAAGTATTAGGAAATTCTGTAGTTTCTGAGGCTCACTTCAAATGAGCTTGATGGGTTTCACATAAATTACTGAATAAGGAGCGGTTCTCTCTTTCTCGCCACTTTTTTAATTTCTCTGTCCAGAGAACTTCAATAAAGCTATTCACAGACCTCTTTCTCTAACTCAGACTCCTGAACAAATCAAGACCAAAAGTGCTTATAATCATACCAGGTTTTACCTAAGCACAAAATCCTGGACTCGATATTTGGGGATTTGAGTGTGAAACTGAAGAGCTGTGATAGAAGGTCCAGTTATATGGTATGATTATCCATACCAGTCCTTAAATGTATTGATTCATTGTTTCTTTCTTTTTCTTATAATTTAAAAAAAATAAGAAGAAGAATGGTGCTATAAGAGGTTTGAGTTGCTCTTCCTCAGTAAGGTAAGCACTTTAAATTAAAGGAATTCTTACAAGATTTTCTACTCTGAAAAGGTATGAATATAAGCACCTAATGGGCTGTAGGAAGGTGTTACATTTTGTCTCCTCTGTTTAGATTGTAAGCTCTCCAGGCAGTGACCATCTCTGCTGCATGTGTATGCAAGTGCTGCACCTCCCCCCCC